ATCAGTTTTTATACGTGGGTTTAGTTTCCACATGTTTGTGAGTTTCACAGACTTTCTTTACTTTCTTGATTTGACATTTCTATTGTGCTTCTATTGTGCTACTGTCCTTGGTGTGACTGCAATCCTTTCACAGTTCCCTTCGATATGTGTGAGTGCGACAGAGTGTGTGTCAGTGACTTAAGTTAGACCTGCCATGCATTATCCTCCATGTATACGTGATAAGAACTCATCTGCTGGTGATACTGATTGTTTATAAAAACTAACCAGTTTAAGGTGACAGGTCTAATAATTATCTTTTATCTAGCCATCCTGTTTAATGAAATTTGTTGTTCTACAATGTTGCACTTTTCTGCAAACTAAAAGGTCCATCTCCTAATTTTCTCCCTCAGTCCCAAGAATGTAACCAACTGGGGACCCAGCTTTCAACACATGAGCCTTTGGGGGACATTTCTGATCCAAACAATAACATGGGGCACATGAGGAAGGATCTCTCTGGAGTTCACCAGTCTTGTGAACACTCACTATTGTTTGCCCCTAGGCTAGGACACATGGGTCCCCTAGGACAGGACACATGGGTCCCTTGTTACCTGAAGACACCATCAACTTTGTCAACCCAGGTGTTATATCTCACACACTCAGCCTGGAGAAGTGTGACTTTGCAAATGAGAAGACCCCCAAATTCTCATTTCTTTTCTTTCACAACTTCCCCAGAGATCTCCATGCCCCTGAGGGTAGACCTGTGAGCTTCCACAAGGACAAGGTAGAATTTTAATTAATGCCAGAAACAAACTTGAATATGACATGCCCTTTCATATTCAGTGAGGTCCATATCTCTCCATATCTCTCCTGGGAAACCAGAAGTCTGTGTTTCATGCCATTCCCTGGCAGTCATTTGTCCATGGCTGTGAAAGCAGGTGGTGGAATCCCAGGCTTCCGTCTCAGTACCGAAATATTGAGGCTTATTCTTCATCACATGTCCTCTGTGCACATGATGGGGATCCCTCTCTTGGACCTGCAGAGGTGACCCCAGCTATGGCACATCACTTATCCCTGTCCTGCATGCTTCCCCCTTAAAGCAAGTCTTAGCACATCTCTTGCATATTAGTCCATGTGTCCAATTCTGCTGCCTTTGATATGATAAAAAATGAGGTCATTAATAAAGGGTAAGAATTGCTGGGTAGATGCAATGGCTTTATAGAAGAAGCATTCTGGTTCTTTTCATGCAGGATGGAGACCAATTATAGCTTAGGGAATGATGTGAGCATTTTCCACCAAACTCTTCCATGGGTGAGTGATGGTTGTGCCTCACACCAACTCTATTCCTACAAGTCAAAGCCAAACACAGTTCCTGGAGTCCCAGCATCCTATCCTTTGCTAGACCTACCCAAAGAGTCAGGGGTCATGAGATGAAGAGCAAAATACATGGTAATGGATCCAAAGATGTAACCATGAGGGAGAAGGGCTCTATGTGTTTAGTTTATTAGTGGGACAGTGCGTCCTTCAGCCTATTAGTAGGGCATTGGAAAGAGGGAATTGAAAGACATGTTAAAACCCCTGTGGAGAGAGCTATGTATACAGGAGTTTAATTCAGGCACCTGCACTGGATACCCAGATCTGCATCTCACACCCGAGAGCTCCAACATGTTCATCAGCTGTTCTGTGTTGTGTTTGTCTGCCCTGATGAATTCCATTGGCTATGACCCTAACACACACAGCTCCTACTGAAGTGTTTTCAGATATTACCTGAAAAATTCTGTCAGTATACAGTGCTAACCAAGAGAATGCAGATCACAGTGTTATATTAATTGTTACATTGTTAATATGACATCTACTAATATATA